TTATATAAAAAGATTAAAAAAATTATTTTTAAATTATTTTTCAAAGATAAAAGGAGTTACTCCAAAAGTGAGAAATAGATGAATTGTTTGTCTGTCGTGTTAATCTATTAAAAAATTTTCAATTAATACGAAAATTAAATATTTGTTTATAAAGAATATTTTTCTTGAAATGTCTTTATATATATTTATTAATGATGAATCCAATTTAATACAATTTAAACTATGTACCATATTATAAAAGATAAACTCTTAAATGGGGGATAATCATGAGTATTAGAGAGCTCGTTTTCATCCAAGAGTTAGTTTAGCATAATCTAATACAATCCAAACCGTATTAAGCATTTATGTTCATTAATTAACAAATTTAATTATTAATAATATTATTATATTTATTAATTATCAAAAAGACCAATACATACAAACCATGCATATCACAACTTTGCAGCCTAGGTTTCCTTAAAAAAATTTAGAGAGCCAAAATTAAAAAATTAAAAACCATAATTATATTAAATAGATAGTAAGTTATTTTATATAATTATTATCTTTTAAGAATTTATTTAGTTTAAGAGGAACAAAAAAGAAGGGAGGAACAAATTTTTTAATTAATTAAATTATAATAATTTTAAATATTACAATATAATAGATAAAAAAATTCATCATTTCCTCCCCTTAAACCAAAACTAAGAGTGGCGGGTAGAAAAAGGCTCAAGACAAAAGGTAAATACTTAAATGCAGTATTTCGATGAATTTTTTTTAATATATTGTGGTTATTTACAAATTAATTGAGGGATAAAATAACAATTTTTATAAGATTTGAACGTGTAACTTATAAAAAAAGAACAATTCTAACTCATGATTCATTGTAATTGGATTAAAGCGAGCATTTGCAGTATTTAAATGATTTATTTTCCAAATAAAAATGTATTTTAATGACTTGCCAATGTCGTATGGAACATAGAATAAGGATGCTTCTTTACTACGTAAATTAAAATTGAACTACTCGGCCAATTCAATGCAGTGCACACAACTCCTACCACGAAGTATTCCATAGCGTAGAAGATATGAGGTCTTCTGATGGGACATTCTAAACTCTTTTTTTTTTTT